TTTTTTTTTTTTTTTTTTTTTTTTGGGGGGGGGTCCTTATACTATCTTATTTAAGGACCCTAAACAATGGGTAGTATCATTGCCAGTACGCGCATGATTATGGTAGTCATGGGCTTTGCAGCAACAGCCCGAGATTTCGAAGTGGTCAGTCTTGTTGCTGGAAGGTCGGAAGAGCTCTATCTGGGTCTATGTTCCAGGGATTAGGTTTTAGAGTTCAGGTTTAGGGCTTAGGGACGCTGTGCCTTAAGCACGGTCAGTTTTTGTATGACATGAAGGCTCGTTCGCCTAGCATGAACACGCTTTACAACCGAGTTATGAATTGAGGCACGAACCTTTCTGTCTGGGCCTGGGCCGCGAGAACGAAGCAACCCTGACCACCTTCGGCCCCCTCCAACAAGCAGAAAGAAAAACGTCATCTCTGAATCCATGAAGCATTTAACCGTTGTATGATGAACCCACCTCAAGTCTCCGCCCTACGCACTCTAAACCCAGATCCTTAAAGCCCCCGAAGCCTGTAAGATCTTAGGGTTTCACGGTCAATATAGCAACGTTCTAAACTCGAAGCCCTAAACCCGTTAATAACAAATCAGAGAGCCCTTGTCTGACCACGCAGGTCTGGCCAGTTGGGGCAATCTCCGGGTTCCGGCTACGTCCGTAGCTGCCTCGGAAAGGCAACAAAGCAACCTGACGTGAAGCCCTAAAGACTTAACCCAACAGAAAACCCAAACCATAAAAAACTTAAAACCCTAGCCCTAAACCGTAGGCTTTCTAGGGGCGGCCAAGGGTTTGGGGTTCAGACTTTGGGGTTTCTTAGTGTTTAGGGACTTAGAGTTTAGGGTCTACACGTACTTCGTGATTTAGAACTTCGCAATTAGGGTGACGGCTCCCGAACAAGAGCTCTCCAAGAGTGTGATGTGGGTCTTCGGGGCGAGTCCACAGTTGCCTCTATACTATTCTTAGGGGGGTCTGATTATAATTATAGTAGAGTATCCCCCCCAAAGCCCTATTTTTCCAATTATCAAGGCCTCTACCTTACCATACCCTAAACCCTATTCTAATTATCAAGGACCCTACATTAAATTGGTGTAACAGACCTCGGGAGGTCGAGTCTCTTCCTTTGGCACCGAGGCATTGCACGCCGCCGCCCTGTGAGCTTTCGCATACGGACCTTGGATCGGAGTGTGAAGCGATCACCTCGAGAGTGACCTTGGCATTTTTTTTTGAGGCAGTGTCGTTGAGTTTAGCCTTTGTAGTTGAAGGTGCCTCTATGTATGTGTATACATGGTATTGTAGTTCAGCCGTAGTTTAACTTACCGTGATGTCGAGATCTATAGTAAATAATATGGTTTCCTTACTATGAACCCTTAAATCGAGGTCCTGAACAAGAGCCTAGGTGATGCGGTGCCAGCGCAAATGTAAAGCGGAGGGAGGGAGCTTGGACCCCTCTGGCAGCCGGTACTCGGACTTGCACCAGAGCCGGGTAGCCTGCCCCGATGACTTTACCGATGCCAATGCGACACTGGTTGGGCCAGATCAACCACTGGAGCCTCAGTAGAGAAAGTAATCTTGAGCCTCAGAAGTTTTTGGTACTGTAGTCTCTACATCATCTCAAATGTTAACCTTCAGTTTCCCTAGGAAGCTGGACAAGTAAGGAGTGGACTCAGCGAGGAAACTCCACTGTGCAGGTGGAACTTTGGGGCGGCGGCGGTGGTGGAACCGGTTCGTCTTTGGCAAGGGATCATGTCGAGGAAGTGGGCATCAATGTGAAAGTACATGCAGTGCCACGAACCTTTGATATGTTCTACAAAGGAATACCTTTCCCAAGCGGGATCTATTACAAGTTCAACGACACCAGGGGCAAGGTGCGATATGCCACAGCAGACGACACTGTCCACCTGGTACACCATGAAACCTGTGAGTTCTTGCATGACAAGCCCTGCTGGGAGTTCAGGGTCAATTCCGTGATCTTCAGGAGGGACATGCAAAACCCCAAGGACATGGCCCAGGCCGACGGGCCCGGCTTTGCATCTCAAGCTCAGTGGGCCAAATATGAGGCCATCCCGCCGTGGGGCCGGGGGGGCGGGGGGGGGCCGGAAACCCGCCCGGGGTTAGGCCGAAGAGAACCTGCTGATTCGCAGCTCCGGCTGGTTGCTTTGGATGGCTCCCCTGACCGGGTACCTCAAGGCAGGCAGAAGTGGATCCACCCTCGAAGATCCGACTCTTCCTACCCTTTCACCGAATCTCAGCTCCTCCTGGACATCACCATTGAGCCCCTTAGTAGCCGAGTGAGTACGCTTCACACTTTTTGCGATTGTATGATCCCTTATAGAACTGAAAGTGTACACTTTTTGGGGCTTATGAACTCAGCAACTAAGGCCCGCACATCGATTTTTTGCCATCTGCGGCGGCTCCGGAGGATCCGGAGCACACGTCCTCGCTGTAGTTCTGCTCCAGGCTGGGCGTCGTTATCGCCTCGAGGCCGGACGTGGCGGCAACTAGGTCTCCTAGTACCATCTTTTCCCTTTTGCAGTTTCCGGTTCCTGATAAACTACCAGATCAATTTTAAAAGGGCACCATATGATTATTCCTACTGTTGATGCTAAAAAATCGCCTGTCCACTTCCCCGCAACCCCTGAATTTCAATGGATCCCCATGGGGTCATGCTGGATTTTGGGCGCGCAGGCCCTTGTCTCAGGCATGACGTTCTCCAGTGACTCCTGCGATTTCGCCGGTTTGGCGGGTTGGATGTTCAGGTTCCTCGGGTTTTAGCGCCGTTCGTGGAAACGTTAGGGGTAATGTGGTGGCGTATTCAACGGCCCCCCCCCCCCCGACCGAAAGTGCGCGGCTTCTTTAACATGTTACCCGTGACCCCCTTGACCTTGGTTTGGTAATATGGGGGCCTGAATAATCACCAATACTATGGTGGGGGTTCCTTATTATGATTATAGCATAATGTGCCCCAAAACCCTATTCTAATTATTAAGGCCCCTACATTAGGGTTGTCTTGGGATCTGGGTGGTTTTGACTAACTTATAAAGGTTTCGGGGGGTTCGAGGGCTTGGGTGGAGGGTCTGCGGTGCTCCGGGAATGCCCGGGTCGAGGAGGTTTGGGGATGACCAAAAGCCTAAGCCCCGATCACTCCAAGAGAACTACCAAGATTGGCACTCCCCTCCACAATCGACCAAGTCTGAGGCCTGGTGCTGTACAGTAGTAGTGCAGTAGTAGTACAGTCATAGCACAGTAGTACTGTTATAGCATAGTGGTAGTACAATAGTAGTACAGTACGAGGGTTTAGGGGCACCTGCAGCTGTTTAGCGGGGTTGTGGGAGCACGAAAGAAAGGCTCGAAGCAAAGCCCCGATCACTCTAAGATAAGATAACTACCAGGACTACAAGCTGTTCATTTTGCAAGTTTTTTTCACCAGACTACACTTCCCTCCACAATCGACCAAGTCTGAGGCCTAGTACTGTACAGTGGTACAGCAGTAGTACACTAGTGGTACAGTAGTACAGGAGTACAGTAGTAGTACAGTCGTACAGTAGTGGTACAGTAGTACAGCAATTAGGGTTACAGGGGGTTGAGGGTTTTGGGAGAGCTTCGGGCTTCAGGCAGAAAGAGAGCAAGCAAAACCATCAGCCGGCCAAATAAAAACGCACAAAGGGCGCCCCAAAAAAGTTTGCAACAAACTCGTTCCCTAGCCTTGCCAGGTGTCTACGATGTAGGGTACTAGAGCCCCTAGGGCCCTATATAGTAGGTACATCGAGGGTTAGGGTTTACGCAACAAAAAATCGCATGATAGATTCCCACCTGGCTCAAT